CAACCAATTATTCGGCAAGAATACCCTTTCTATTATTCCTAATAAGATTGCACAGTTTTTGAAATTAGAACATCCTGAAACATATACAGGCCATTCATTCCAAAGACCATCGGCAACGTTTCTAGCTAATACAGAAGTTGATGTATTAGCAATCAACACACATGGTGGGTGGAAATCAGCCACAATTACAGAAAGTTATGTTGCTGACAGTTTAAATAACAAAAATGAAATCCCCAATAGGATTCTTTAAATAACACTTCAACTCCAGGTCCTAGTATTTCGTAACATCATGCTGTTTTAATGGATCAGTCAGATAGTATTGAGCCTCCGGCGACTGAAATAGAGCGCTCAAATCATTTTGAGAAAAATGTGACAATTAGTCACCGCGAGATTTTATAAATGTTACTAAATATAATAACTGTACAAATACTATAAATATTCATTCATGTAATGTAATGTTCATCAAATATTTCTATTTACTTGTTCATAAAATATGCATTTATAATTCGAAATCGCATTTTTTCATAGGGAGGTAAGTTACCTTACTTACCTGCCGTTGTCAATAGCAACTTCCACTTCTACGGTAAAATCCACATACCTCCTTAAAAACAAGGTATTAATAGTATATTTACTATAGTGGGAGTAGATAAATTGTATTAGTTCTAGATATTCTAAAATAATTTAGTAAGACAGATTGCTTTTGTATGGCTTAGCGACGTGTCATTTTAAAGTCATCATATTTTTTTGACATGATCTATCAAACACTATAGTCTGTTTAGAAATGAAAGAGAGTAATAAAAGCTTATTATGTATGCAAATCGTAAATAAATGTAGTACCTACTGGTGCTTATATTCAATATTTTTATATTATGTATTTTCCGTATAGATGAGGTGTACTTTTAAAAAAACTTTGTGTGATCGGACTGTACTAAATTGTAGCAGGTAGCTAAAATTATTTAATCCCCGACAATCCGTCTTTGTCTATGCCGCACAGAGGGAAATATTGGAAAAAATTCTCGCCACTCGCCAATTTTCATCGTCTCGTCGTGATTTTTTTTTAATAATCTCGTTGTAATCTGAATTTTGATATTCCTGTGAGGTTTTTTCGAAAAACCCTTTTTTTTAATGCTTAGGGAGCGCCCCTTATGACTCTTGATGACATATCTGATGTTTTTTCTTCAAAAACCTAACTCCAAATATATCATCAAGGGTCATAATAATCCATTTTTATTAATAGCAGATACTTTTTAAACATTTTTTTCTACAACTGAACATCGAGTATTTAAAAATTTTTTCTTCGACATTGAGGTTGGGCGCTCCCTAAGCATTGAAAAATAAAAAAAAAGAATTTTCGAAAAAACCTCACCGCAATATGAAAACTCAGATTACCACGAGATTATTAAAAAAAAATCACGACGAGACGATGAAAATTGGCGAGTGGCGACAATTTTTTCCAATATTTCCCACTGTGTGCCGCTTCAATTTCTCGGTCCATTTCTCTTATAAGTAAACAATATAAAAACAGCATTTCAAAACATGAGGCTACTTTAAGCATCATAACCGTGTTAAGAGGGTTTTTAGTAATTCAAATAAAATTATTCAATATTATTACCAAAATATTTATTTAAATTTAATGAATAGACTTGTATTCCACACAAAAATATATGTATTTTGAAAATTCAAATTATGGTGAGTAAATGTAGTGTTGTATAAATGTACAATAAAGAAAATAAAAAAGTAGGTATATTAAAATTCATCCTCTGAATATTCTGATGAATTATCTTCGTCTCCTAGATTGATAATGATAGGTTCCACAGTAACGTCAATTAAATTATCGAGTTCCCACATTTTCTCCGCTTCTTTTTGTACATGATGTATACATCTTTGCCAGTTATCTGCAGTTACTCGTTCCAAGGAATTTTTTAACAAAATTTTCACGTCATTTAATTTAAACGTCGTATTATTTCGCGCTACATCTCCGTTTATCTGCGCCCAGACTAATTCGATTGGATTAAGTTCACAGTGATAAGGTGGTAACCGTAGTACCGTTATTTGGTGATTTGTTGCCATTTCATCGATAACATATTTTTTCTGATCTTTATTAAGATTGAAGTGTCAAAAGTTCCTTTTTCACCATATTTGTTTCAAAAGAAATGTTTTTTCCGGATAACCATTGAATTATATCGGCTTTCCTCCAAGCAGTCGTAGGCGTCCGCTCGGTCTGCCGTGAATGGTAACTGGCATTATCCATGACAATTCCAGATCCCGGAGGAATAAGATCCAACATCTGTGTAAAATACTCTTCGAAAACATCTGCGTTCATGTCTTCGTGATAGTCACCTGTATTTTTTAGATTCAAATAAAAGTAAACCGCCATCTACAAAACCACTGGCACTACCGATACGTGTCACTATTAATCTTCGCCCTTTACCTGAAGGTGCCTTGAACCCTGTTGAAAGTCCATCCAAAAATGCTTGTCGAAAACTTTTTACATTTTTATCTTGCCATACTTTTGTTACAGTATATCCCTCGTTGACCCAAATTTCGTCTAGATAATAAAAATATTCCTCCCTTCGTCACGGAATTTTCTAATTGATCTTAAGTAGGATCTTCGCCAATAAATAATTTCATCTTTATCGATAAGAACTGACTTCCTGTTCTGCTTTTCCCAGCAAAAATTCAACTCTCGTAAGACGACCCATAATTTGCTTCTACTGATTTTTGGCAAATCGTTGTTCTCTGAAAGTTCACATAAAATTTTGTTTAGCGTTGGTATTTCTTTTTAAAAATAAAATGAGTGTACTTTTCTGCGAATGACATTTTTGAAGAAATCATCTATAACGACTTTTGACCTCCCTGTAGATGAATTTGGGGGATTTACAGTATCTTGTTCATTTTTTGTTTCCTTTAAAAGTCTGTAGATAGTCCATTTTCCAATCCCTGTCATTTTTGTTAGCATTAGTGTTACCCGATAATTACCTGAAACGAAATATCACCACGCTCATGGCCGGTTCTTATCTCGGGGTTTTATTACTCTCTTTCATTTCCAAACAGACTATAATTATAATAATATTCGTCGTAAGTATGTTACTAATTGTAAATAAAACAAATTTAAAATAATTATTTTTGCTGTTTTAAACCGAACATAATAAAAAAAAAATAAAACAAAATACGGTATGTTTCTACCCATTTTTCTTATCCGGCCCTTTCCGTAGCCAATCGGTGATAGACATATTAAATTAATCGAAAGCCACCAATCCGAAAATAAACTTTCTAAAAGTTGTTGGGTTCGGAGAGGGACATCGTATGGTGACCTTCAATTTGACCTTGACATTGACTTTCAAGGTAATTTGAAAGTCAAATCTAATTTTTTAAATACAAACCTCTTATTTTTGACCCCATATTCGGAGAAAATTATGTTTAGATAGGTACTTAAGGCTCTTCTTTGGGATGACCTTTAAAGATTATTTCAAGGACAAAATATTTTAAATTACGTACCTGAATATCTCGTAAGGGTAGCCACCAATCCGAAAATAACCCTTACGAACGTTGTTGGGTTCGGAGGTGGACATCGGATGGCGTCCTTCACTTTGACCTTCACGAAAAAGAAGAGTTTAAAGTAAACGTATCTATCTATAAGTAAACCAGCATTAAGTACCTATCTAAATGTAAAATTTTGCGCTTTTTCTGAATCCGAGATCAAAAAATAGAGGTATTTATTAAAATAAAAAATAGATTTGACCTTTGGCCTAGGAGGTTTAGGTCAAGGTCAAGGTCAATTTGAAGTTGTCATTCGGTATCCCCCTACGAACCCCAACAACTTTCGTAATATTTTCGTTATATTTGGATTGGTGGCTTCCCCGGATTCAGGTGCGTAATTTAAAATATTCTGTAATTGAAATAACTTTTAAACGTAATTCAAAGAAGGGTATGTCTAAACGTAAAATTTTACGCTCTCTCTGAATCCCGGGTCAAAAATAGATATTCCTATTTAAAAAATTAAATTTGACCTTCAGATGACCTTGAAGGTCAAAGGTCACCATCCGATGTCCCCCTCCGAACCCAACAACTTATATAAGGTTTAATTTGGGATTAATGGCTTCCCCGATGAGATATTCAGGCCCGTAATTTAAAAAGGGTCACTCTGTATGACCCCCAATTCAAAGTTACACCCTGTATACAGTTGAACAGTTAGATCTTTGCGTTCAATTATCGTTTAACATGAATTAGTTAAGCAATCGCCTTCATATGTTATGCGACTAATACTAGTTATGAAAGTGTTAGTACTTAATAATTGTGTATTGTGTTAATTAATTAAGATCTAGTGTGTAATTTTACATAATTTTTTTTGAGTGTAGTATATAAGCATATACACATCTTGAAAAATTGTTCGTACAGTAACATCAATTATTTATAGTATATTACGTAATAAGTGTTGTAAAAAGCATTTTACGCACGAATGAGTGCGTAATTGCATTACACCACGTATTACGTACTATACTTTACCTACGACCACTACTTTAATTACTTAAAAACACACCGTCTGCGATCAATGCAAGATTCCTATTACGTCGTACGGTAAAAAAATCGCACAGCTTGGTAAAAAAATCATACAGTTTTCCTAGCAACCGCCTAGCAACGGTCAATACAAACAGTATTGTATTGACCGTTGCTAGGCGGTTGCTAGGAAGACTGTGCGATTTGTTTACTGTACGTAATAGGAATCTTGCATTGATCGCAGACGGTGTGTTTTTAAGTATTTACAGTAGTGGTCGTAGGTAAAGATTATAACAATCGAGTCTAAACTTCTAAATGTGAAAGAAATTATTGTATCTCTATGAAAACAATTTGTGAATTTACACAAAAATGTGTAAAATAAAAGAAAATAACATAAACTGTGAATTTTTTCTGTTAAAATGCATATTATAGGTAGATTATTAGATATTTATACAATTTACAACTTTCATATTGGAACGTTATTTACTTAGAAAGATCCCCAAAAAAATGAACAACAGTTTATTTACTTGTACATATTAATCAATAGATCAAAGGAACGTTTTACATTTTCTATACTTAAAATCTATTCATCAGCAAGTACTTCAGGGACTTGTATAGCGCCCGACAAAAAGAACCACTCCATGCGATTTGACCAAATATATAAATGGATGATCGGCATGGAAGATAGTGCAACCATCTGCCGATCTTTCGCGTTCCCCTGAAAATAATTTTTTGTTAATGAACATAAATGATATAAATAAATGTATACATAATTATTTAGAAAAATTGCACGGATCAAAGTTATACAAAATTTTCGTGATTTCAAAACTGTACTTAGAAAAACAATTTAATGTTGCACATCGGATATATTTATTAAACCTGTGTTTTCTTCATTTTTGAACACACTTATTTGGATAGAAAGGTTCCTCTAGATTACAGCATATAAGGATATCTCGAATAATAAGGAAGTCTAGTCTAGAGACTGTTAATAATAAGAGATAAGATGTTAGGGATAGACGTAACAAACATTATATCACTTAAAGCGTTCTATACAAATATATAAAAATAATGTAATGTATAAAGTTTAACTTGTATCTTGAAAAATGCCATATTCCATTCTTTTTTATGTACGGTTTTCAGATCACAAGAAAATTGTCTACAACTTTGGCCGGTACAATTTTTTCCAAGTTCGAAAATAAAAAGGATAATATAAAAGATAATTACACAACATTTTCCCTCTCTTATTTTTTTACCATTCTTTTAGGAGAAAAGACCAAAATTTTAGGAAATTTTCTTGCGATCTCAAGAAACGATATAAAAAAAGTTGCATTTCGGAGATATTTTAGAAATATTGATTTATATGAAACAAATTTGTTGTCTTGTCACTATCTCTCTCTTTTCTTCGTAAATATAATAGTTTTTGTGCAAAAAATATAAAGTACATATTAATTTCTATACACAATCGCAGTATTAAATATTTTTTTCTGTAAAAATATTTCTTGCTGACTAAAACTGAAGTAGAAACTTGGATGATCACCAGGTGAATAGATAAATCAGATAGATGAGAGATGGATAAAGAGATAGATCAGAAATAGATGGATAGAGATAAAATATAAATAGAAATTCGCGAATCTGAACCTAACAGTATCCTGTATTTATTAATTTTTACTATCGCTTCAATGAATTGATAATACTCAAATTTATGTCACAGAAAGTTCGAACCGATGTTAATTAACCACGATTAATTTCATACAAATTTTGATTCATATGATTTGAAACATCAAATTATTAAAATCATTTAAATTGTTATTTACTTTGATATTTGTCGCACAGTGAAATATAGTCATAATCTTAACAAAATTATAGTTCTTAAATTTGAAAATTAGTAGGTAGGTAAATACTAACTTGCTCTACCGGATTCGGTGAATTTGACGAAAACCTTTTGGATTACATCACTGACGTAAAGCTCTTTAAAATTTGAAGACAGTCCTGTTAAGTCGGCATTGTCAAACAATCTGCTTATTCCCAACTGCAAAAAGGAGATAGTCAAGCCATTGTCTCTCTCCCAGGTATATAAAAGAAGTTAAAATAACACTATATTTTTTTCTAATGTTCCTCCTAGAGGCTTACGTTTGGGTTCTAGCTTTGAAACCTCTTTATACATTTTGACGCAGTGTAATACAAATAAATGTCCATGATTTGACGTTAAAATCGATATTTTAATATGACAAGTTATCCAGAAACAAATTGACCTCAACAACTGTTCAAAAGTAGCTACGTACTCGATTGTGCACCATCTCATTTTGAGTATTTAGTGTGTCAATATTTATAAAATGTTTTTAGTGCTATAAATAGGTCGAGACGGACCTATTTTGTAGACGCCAAAGTCGTCCGACCTAATTCCATTAGTCCTTTTAACGTGGAGTCATTCAAACGAACTCATTTATTCAACACCAGTAAATACTGGAAAAGAACTTTTGTTGAAAATAACACAAAAATGTAATCAGATTCAACACAATCCTGGAATGTCATTTCATAGAATTAAAAAGTCTAATTTGTCGGAGTGATCATTTTTAATATTATGGCCGCGACCTGGGACCTGGAACTTGGTCGCTGCCACTTACAGAATTACCTTTGACTTCTTTAGCCTTAGCTAGGAATCTTTGTTCTTTAACCTTAGCTAGGAATCTTTGACCATTTGTTGTTACCGGGCTAAGCTCTGTGGGAACAGACGCGTTAGTACAACGCCTAGGTCCGCCCTAATGTTCATTTCGGTTCTTTTTGGGTCTAAGGCCACTACAGACGAAACCGCTCTTCAGGCAATTGTGACGTTCTGAAACGTTCCGTAGTGACCTCTGCAACTGGTCGCCAATCCAAAGTTTGCAATCGTTTCGACGTCCTTCACTGCGCCGCTACTGAGAGTCACCACTGAAGATGGCAACAGCGAAACGTTTAGAAGCATTGGATAATAATAATTTCTGTTGATAGTCGTCTGTCAAAATTTTGAAACGACATGTGTTGGGACCAGTCCGTTTCTGGATTCCTTCTAATAGTAAAAGATCAGTTTTAACATCAACTCATTGACATTTATTTATAACAGACAACACCGAAATTTTATTAAAGTACCTATGCAAGGCGGTTTCAAAGTTAGGATCTAAATGTAGGTACACACTCCTTTGGGATCAGTTATCTCCGTTGAGGATAGAAGAAATTATAAAAGGCTTAGTATTATTTTGACATCCTCTACAACTCTATAGGGTTTCCATTAAAGAATGGGCCAAACTTTACCACTAGATTCTACGACGAAAATTAATGGGGAAATGTTATATACAGTGTTGCTCATAAACGCTTAGTTTTCGAGATTCAGGGTGTTGAAATTTGAAAAATGTTATTTATTTCCGCTTTACGCAGTGTCGTAACATTTATTTTTTATAAAAAGGTTTCGAAAATATTGTTTGCACGCCACTGGTTTTTTGTATTGACGTGAAATCGCAGCAAATGATGTAGGTCCCCATTAAAACTTCTCATACCAAATTAGAAAAAAATCCCATAACGTATCTCCGAGATATGCCTGAGAATCGTTTTTATTTTTCAACTTCAACACACTATAATCTCGAAAACTAAGCGTTTATGAACAACATTACAATTTGACTTTTCCCCATTAATTTTCATCCTAGAATCTAGTGGTAAAGTTTGACCCATCTTTTAACGGTCTTATGCTGCCAAAAGATTAATAAACACTTACCGGACACTAATAATTTAGTTTCTACATTTTGTTAAACTCATTATTCGAATAATTCGAACATTTTTTTTGTTCCTATGTTTACTTACGTTCTTCAGAATAGGAATGAACTTTATTTTAGTTTCTATAGTAAAACTGGGAAACTCCACATGAACTCTTTCGTTCTTGAGTGGCTGAGGAGCCAACAGTTGTTCTATATTTTGCTCCACACTTTTTAATCCTTCCTTTTCGTTCGGTAAGACGATAACCATTTGCATGTCAATGCCTAAAAAAATTGTACGATGCATTAAAAATATACATATATAAATCGTGTAAAATTATAGACGCAGTGCACAGAAAAAAAAAACAGGAAAACGAGTAAATCTTACCATCGAATGGGAGTTCCAAAAATTTCACGTTAAGGGTTGGACTTTCATAGTAGTTGAAATATTCGACTTGACTCAGGATGTCGACGTTAACAGAATCGTCTTTGGTTTTAAAGAATTTTTTCTTATTTGTGGTGTAGTTGTTGAATGGAGAAGTCCATTTAGCACTGAAATAAAGAGCGTTGACTAAAATAGCCTTAGTATTGTCTTGAATATCGTCGGGTTTGATTAAGCTTTTAATTTTATGACTGGTTTTGTCTTCTACCCAATCATTCATTGTTGCAGACGATTTTTCCTTGTTGGCAAAATTAACGCTTTCAACACCTAGAAAATACAATTGTAAATGTTAAGTAAGTCACAACCGCAACCAAAAGAATTAAACAGTTGATAATCGATCTTTACCTGAATCGTAAATTGTTGACGCGATTGTCTTGAAGTCATCTTCTAGTTTCAGGCTTTTGTCGGTGTAGATTTTGCTGGCAGTGAATATCTTGAATCGTCTATCGGATCTCTTCAGATTTAGTAAAATAGATTTGATTGCCTTTTGTGTATTTTCTTTGGTACTGGGCAGAGAGGGACCTGTCGTCAGTTCTGCGGCTGTTTCTCCCCTTGCGGCTTCATTGGTGAGAGCTAGGACTACCTCAGCTGACAGCGGACTGACGACAAAGTTACCTTGTTGATTTTTAAAAAGTTCCTGAAATAATTAAATTTAGGTACTAAAGTTAAAGTAAAGCTAAAGTAAAGCTAAAGGTAAAGCTATCGAAAAATCATAAGTCATAAACGTTTTAGGGTTTTTTAAGATCTATTACAATAAAGAAAAATTAAGTACACAGGATCAGTAAAAAAGTTATGAAGAAACAATGTTGCTTTTTCTTTAATGGAATACCCTGTGTTTAGGTACTCTTAAATTTGGGGTAATATACTGTAACAGGTTGGATTTGATTAAAAGTTTTATTATTAAGTAGAAATTGAAAGTAAATGAAAAATACATTAAGTAAAGACATACTAGGATAAATGGTGACAGGAGAATAATTTTAATTTGAGTGACAGTTAAGAATAAAGTGACAGTTTATAAGAAAATATGAATTTAGAGAGAATATCCGTTTAAATTAATAAAGTATAGAGATCAAATAGTAAAATACAGCAAGAGAAAACAAAATGGTATTGGAAAAGGTAAAATTAAAAATGTATACAGTAAAAAGTAATCTGATTGGTGCAAGTTGGAAACTATAGTCAGAAAATTATTTGTAAATTGAAATAAGAGTGCAGTGGAAGAATAATAATTAAAAAAAATTGTGTGAGGTTTAAAAAATTTGTATGAAATAAAGAAAAATACATAAGTAATTGTTGAAGAAGAACCAAAAAAAATATATAGAAAAAGAAAAGAGAATTTGAATCGAGATATTATAAAAGTCGGAAAAAGAAAAGAAACTTAAATTAACCTTAGATTAGATAGAGAAAAAATTTTGGGGTGGACCACCCTTAACATTTAGGGGTATGAAAAATAGATGTTGGCCGATTCTCAGACCTACTCAATATGCTCACAAAATTTCATGAGAATCGGTCAAGCCGTTTCGGAGGAGTACGGGAACGAACATTGTGACACGAGAATTTTATATATATTAAGAAGATAAGATAATACATATATAAAATATCGAACTCGATTCTACAATCATAATCATGTTCACTCAATTCTTATAACAAATGAATTTTAAATCGATGTAATTTTTCCCGTTTGCAAATTTTTGCAATTACTCTCGACTTATAATCTATCATGGGATGACGAATTACCTTTTGAATTTCGATGGTCAAGATTTAGAAATCAGCTTTTTATCCTAAATCAGGTAGAAATTCCGAGACATGTGGTATGCACTGCAAAAGTCGAAATCTAACCAAACAGTAGCAAAACAGATTATATATCAGTGCATTCGATGTTTTAGGGTAAGGCCAACTCAGACGGCTCCGTTAATGGCACATACTTCTACAGGGTCGGAAAGTCCCCATGGTTCATCGGCCGTTACATGAGAGCGATAAAGAAAGTCATAGAAATCCGTGCGATAGAGAAAGATGGCTATAATGAAAGCGTCTAATAGTCACCGCCCATTTCGCCCTTCCACAAATAAGAAGTGGATTCAGTTGGCTATGAGATGTAGTACAAGCCGGTAGGCGGTAGTCTCAGTCGTAACGCTTCATCATTCAGTACATTAAATCTACAGGGTAGGAAATTACCGATGGTCTATCTGAAGTTACGTGAGAGCGATAAAGTAAGCCATAGAAATCCATATGATAGACAAGGATGGGTATAGTGAAGGGGTCTAATAGTATCCGCCCATTTCGCCCTTCCACAAATAAGAAGTGGATCTTATTTGTGGAAGGGTGAAACGGGCGGTGACTATGAGACGCCTTCATTATAGCCATCCTTCTCTATCGCATGGATTTCTATGGCTTACTTTATCGCTCTCACGTAACTTCAGATAGACCATCGGTACTTTCCTACCCTGTATACAGTCCACAATGTATTTGATACCAGCATTCCATGTAAAAGTTATTGAAAGTTGGAGCTCGATATTTTGTATTTATTTGTCAAGAAATAATAACTCAGAAACAGATAAAAATATATATCGTTTATTAAAACGATACAATACAGAATGCTAGGTGCGGATTCTTTGCGTACGACTAATGCCGGAGCTCACCAGGAACTGCGTCCTGGCTGATTAACTGCATTTGCCGCAGGTGCGTGTTCAATCGCCGGCAGGGTGAATCCCCGTAGAACGATTCCGGTGTGGATGGGGCCAGGGACACCCTGATTTGGCTCGCGACGTTTGATTTTCGACACGACGAGACCAAGGGGTCTCGTCGCTCGGCCGCGGTTGGTTATCTGAAACTGAGTGTGTATTAGCTCTGACCCGGAGGTCTTGTGGGAAACGTCTTTGGCAGCGATCCATCTTCCTTGGAAATTTCGAAAGGAAAGTGAAGAATATATTTCCTTCGTCATTCGTCGGCGGTCCTCGGGAGGCTGCGACGCACGATGTGGTCATCGTGCGTTGATACGGGGGTGGCTACACCGGCTCGTTGCAGCCTTGGCGGCTCGACGTTAGGAATTTCGAAAGGTCGGTGAAATTTTTCGAAAGGTCGGTGATTTTTCTAATGTTGTCTGGTGTCATTTTCCTGGTGTGGTGGCCATATAGCCTTCAAACGTTATATTGAATGGCTTGTAGATGGTGGAAGACCATTCGTCGCATTTGGGGAGTTTAGAGCATGTTTTCGAAACATCGGCGATTTTTGATGAGCGTATTGTGGTAGCCTGCCTTTAGTGCGTTTGTATGAGGAACTCGAGTTTTGAGCGTTTCGTTGGTGTATTCGAAACATTGGTAAATTCTGAAGGATATTCTACGACAGTATCTATATTTTTTTTTAGATATCACCAGTAAAGAGAACTATTTTTGTATTTGGGTAACCCATTGTAACAAAATTTAGATATTTACGGGTCTATTCTCTAATGCTTTTGGTTAAATTTAACGTCAAGGTCACAGTTAAAATTTTAACCTCCCATTGTTTAACCCGATACTGCCGATACAGTAAAAATTTTAATGGATTTATTTTAATTTAAATTTATTTTTATTTAAAATTTAGCGGGACCAAAATAGATGCTGCGGATTGACAAAAGGTATAATTAGTATATTATTTATAAACGTTATAATGGCCCTTCAAATTAAATCATTCCAAGCTTTATTTGCAAACATAATTTCATCTGGCTGCAATTTGTTGTTTAGCAAATATTCTTGTCTTCCAAAAAGTCAACAATTAACTGGATCTGTTTCAGAAATCGAGGTTATATTATCAATCACAAATCGACGTCTTTTACCCGTAGATAAATATAAATATATTATATCCTTTTACCTTACTGCTAACTTCACTAACACTGAAAAATGGACCGTTAAAGAAACTTATACAGAATACCAGTTGGATTTATTATTTTTATCGGTAGGGTTAAAATTAATATTTTAACGGGATGGTTAATTTGAACCTATAAGATATAATAGGGAATTAAACTTTAGAAGAAGACCCGTTTTTCTTCTTTTAAATAACGTTTTTTGGAATATTAGACAAAAATAAATTTTTTTAAGTCAGTACATACCTTGTAGACAGAAGCTGTAAACTTGTGATTCCCAGCAACAAATTCCTGTAATGCTTCATCCTCTAGTGGTACTCCAAGTACCCCGTACAATAAGGTCAACAAAAGAACACACTTCATTTTCCTTAAAAACAATTAGATGAAGTTGAAATTTGCTAGATTAAGAAATAGAAAGGAGGTAGATTAGTATACATAGAAGATATGTTGCTGTTAAAAACTTCATTAAAAAAAAAACCTAATCGTATCAGCTATTGTAAAAATTTGGTAAGAACTTTAACAAGTAGCTAGGTACTTATTATTAGAGACGACTGTTTTTAAACAGTAACCTGCGGACACTAACTGGAAAAATTCTACCTTATCTTAAATTTTTATTATGTTTAAAATTAATAGGTATTTCGCAAAATATTGCACTGCTAGTCCCCAGTATATCGCTCTTGCGTTTTAGTGATATTTTCCAAACTTTGCGAGTGCCTTCTTTATAATGAGCCGACGAACTTTCCTCTTTTCCGCGTCGTCGCGTTTTCGAACGAGCTATTCCGGAAATTGTCGTTGTGACGCTATGCTGCAATGCGATACATGCAATTCACAATAATCTTAGGAGAATGTATAATTCAACAAAAATCAAACACTAAAGATTCAAGGTGTGTAAGTTTTTTTAGTATCCTTCAATTAATAATCGTAAGCGAAACAAATATAGGGTGATAATTTTACATAGGTAGTGCTATATAATTTATCTCTATACATATTTCATACTGTTCAAATAGTTTATTATTATTTATTTTATTTATATTACTGCACTTATTGTATTGATTTTTATATTTCCTGTAATTGGATGTAGCCTGATGTAAATAAACGCTGTTA